TTATAAAAGAAGGATTTCTATTACAGATCATGGCTTTGGTGATTAAAATTAATGAGTGCCTTCACAGTCTGCACACACATATAAAATGCATTCTTTTTTTATCTTGGTATTTTGATAGATGAAAAGATTTTTTCATGCTTCCTGACCAAACTTATTATTATTTGCTTGTCAAATTTACCTTAATATTTTTTGCCATTTAGTTTTAAGACAATATGAGATGGCAACAGATAAACATCTGAGTTATCTCCATTAAATAGTCATTGAGAAGGAAACTGCATGGCAACCAGATTTATATTATAACATGGTAAGTTTCCCTGCAGGTTTGAAGCAAGTTGATTTTCCCTTTTTTTTTTTCTTTTTTTTTTTTTTTTTTTTTAAATTTTTGTGTGTGTGTGTGTTTGTTTGGTTTTTGGTTTTTTTGTTGGTTTGGTCTGGGGTTTTTTTTGTTTGTTTTGGGTTTTTTTAAATTTTATTAAAGTATTATCTTTAAAAACCTTTTAGAAAAATGTGACATCAGGAAAAAATAGACTTTGCAAATAGAAAAGTCTGTGGTAATACAACCTACAGGGTGAAATGTAAACTTCCATACTGAACTGAATACAATTTATAAATTTTGTGTGGCTGGATCTAAGCTTTTTGCTGGAGTTGTTTTAAAATGTGTCTTCATAAACACTTCCCATGGAGATATTATTTATAAAAATAAATGTTAATAACTAGTTGACAGAGAATTTATAGAACCTCTGTCTCAACCGCCTTTCAGCCCCAGGGGATTACAGTACAATAAACCCCAATTCATATAAATGCTGAAATAGACAGTAGGGCAGAACAAAGGGAATGCAGAAGGGTTCTCACTGTTTTCCTAAAATTAAAATAGTGGCATATTCCTGTTACTTTCACTGCATTAGATACACGAACTGTGAATGCCAGTGTTTAATTTGTGATCTCTGAGTGATCTAAATACATCTATTTCTTATGAAAAATGCCTGACTGTGGCCAGAATCTGTATACACAGAATAACTTTAATGTAGGTAGTTTTCTAAAGTGGTGTTTCCTAAATTACCTGTCAAGAGTGACTTAATCCCACATTGCAAATACTGCCTACACCAGTGAGAGGTATTAATTTCCATACCAATTCATTTAGAAGGCTTTGCTGAGACTGTCAAAGAGATGCTAATTATTATCAGCCATGATGATCCTTCAGGAATTAGGCTGGGATTGAGAAACCACTTAATTGCTGAAGTTACACTACAGTCAGGGATTAAAGTGATGAGTTCTGCTCCCTTTCTGTTTTGCTTTTTTTTTTCTTTCTCTGGTAGCTTGGGGAACAGCTGTCACAGGCAATCCTGGTGATGGTTTTGGGACCATCGGGTGATGGTTTTGGGACCACTTTGTCACCTCTTGGTGTAATTTATCTTCTACTGGTGCTGATTTTAAGATAAATCATCAGCTTCGTTAAAGGCAGGCAGCAGAACTTGAAAGTCCAGTTGATTATCTCCGTACAGCAACACAAAGTGCCTGGAGTTAGGCAGAATTCAACTAAGAGATTCTGCTGAGAGAAATTTAGGGGACCTACGATAGCATTAATATCTGAAAATCTGAACAAATTTTCATACGTCCTTACTACTCTTACAAAAAAGCTAAATTTTCATTCAGGAGAGAAATTAAAATTGACAGAGTTTTGTGCTGCTGTTAATAAAATGTCTCAGACAGGAGATAAGTTTAAAGAAAGGCTTTCCTTGAGGATAAATGCCTGTGTCCTTGATAAATCTTTCCTTTTCCATTTCAATAATAAGCATAGTTCGGCTTTTTGTTTTTATAGGTGCACATTCTTTATTGTGAGCAAAGCTGAATATGTTTCATTTAGTGGTATCTACTGAAAATGTGAATGTTCCTTGAATCCGCTGGATCCTTTGTTATATCTTAAATGTAGGATAGCAAGGTGAAGAGAAGGGAAGGTATGTCTGTTTGCTATGGGTAAAATCTCATTAACTGTAATATGTTTTTCATGCCAGTGGTATATCTTTCACAATTTGGACATCGATGTATGTTCTGTCTTTGTGAAGCTGAGTCATTGATGGCAACCAAATTGCTCAGATTTGGAAGCCTTCTACTCATTTTTTTGCTTGCTTTGCTCCCTCTATACATTTTTTATGGCAAAACTTTTAGTGCTGGTTTAAGTCCTTTATTGTTGTACTGGGAGGAGATGGATCCTCTTCTCTCTGTGAGGACAGCATTGTCATTAATACTTAGACAAGTCAAAGCTGTAGAATTTTCATTACAGGTGGTGATACACAGAGAATGAAGGTGCATTGGGTAATTATTTTTTTCTAAACTGAAAAGTGAATATGATAGATTGGAAGGTATTTCTTTTTAAACAATTGACTCCTGTATATCAAAGTAAAGTAATGCAGAAATCTATTTTAAAATCTAACTGGACTGCCCATCTTCAACTAGGCTACAGAAGTTAATTTTAAATGCCTGTAGTGTCAGAGATGGTGATGATGTATTACCGAATGCCTGGAGAATGAGTCCTGGCATTTTTCTATATTAAAGACATGTTGTGTCGCCAACCATTGTAGGACTGTACTGATTTAATTTCATCATAAGTTTCCAAACCAACAATAGCTCTTTTTAGTTTTCAGTTATTTTCTAGAATATCCTATCTTATTTGAAAACTCCCCTACCCACCAAATAATATCACTCTTCAAAACAACAACAACAACAAAATACAGGAGGAATTTTTATTTAAAGTCTGTAATCTTAGCACAAATAATTTAGTGCTTGAGCTACAGTTCCCTTTCTTGCTCTCTTCTCAATCTTGTTTCTTGTAGTTTCTCACCTGCAGAAGGTATGTTATCTACTGGGAGCATTTTCTTTTCTTGATCAGTGCTTGTTTTATGGGGTTCAATTGCGGGCTTTCATCAAGAAGTACTCTTGTCTGTATTAAAACTGCTATTATTCTTCTCAAAGGTGTAACAATCATTCATATTGCATTACATAATGTAAAAGTATGAAATTTAATTTCCTGAGGCCTCAAGGAACTTTACTTCCTTAAAATGGTGCTGAAATTTAGACAGAAAATATTTTCAGAATGAAAAACTAGGTTTGCATCTAAGAGTGTTTCTCATTTTTCCCAATGATTTTGTGTTGAGCAGTGAATAATACTGTGCTGAAGCTTTCTTTGGCCTTTAGACAAGTACTATAAATTAATTCATTAATGGGAATTATTTCAGGGCAGCAGTACTGGGTGTGTGTTTAAAGTCTTATGGTGATGCTTCAAATATATGCCCTCTTTTCATTAGCAGTTTTAACACGGAGTTTGGCTTAAAAGAAATGAGAAATGAAACACAAAACAAAAAGCCCCAAGCCTGTGGTGATCAACCGTCACCTCTGAGGCAGTCTGCTGCTGTTTGTAAGATTGCATTCTGGACTGTCAGAATGAGAAACCTTTTTTTTTTTTTGTGTGTGTGTGTGTTTGTGTGTGTGTGTGTGTTTTTGTTATTATAAGAAAAATTCTTATTTAGAAAGAAGAGGAAAAAAAAATCTCTTTTAAATTGTTTTTGTCCTGTGTCTAAACAAAAGAACAATGCTGAGCATGAGGGCCATGATCACCATTGCATATTGCACAACTCACAAAAGAGACATTTTTTATCTAACACCAGCATTATGGAGGTTTTGTGTATGAGCCTAACCTTTGGATCTACTTCTTGGCCAAAGTAGAGAGTGTAGGAGGAGAACAACAAAAAGGATAAGAGCTGTTGGGTTCTTGACAATAAACTATTTTGTATGTATTAGTTATGAAGAGGCCAACTTTAGGCAGCGGTGTTAGAACATATAAAATAGTGTTTGTGCAAATGTTAGACATACTAACTCCATGCTGCAGGTAAATAGTAACTATCATGAACGTATTTTAAACATTTAGCACTGGAAAAGTAAGCATTTCTAGTTAAATTTAGTGTGGAGAATTGGGCTGTATTTTAACCCTTTTCAGAATTTATTGTGGGAATGTGTCTCTTGTCTGTACTGGACTTTAAAACTTGTTAATTAAGCTTATGCTTTGGAAGTATGTCAGCTAATACCTGTTGTCACCCTACAAATATCTGTAAACCTGTGATGTAGTATAGTGCATGCTGGTAAATATTTAGTATTATTAAATATTCAGGATGTCCTTCTTTGTAAGCAGTGACTGCACTGGAGCCTCTGTTTAATTTAACAATATTCTTGGTCAGAAGCACATTTTTTTGAGAAACAGTGAAAATGCCATTTGTGGGTTGTCTATTATCCTCCTGTTTCACTTTGAGTAGATGTGAAAGGAATGAAGAAACAGGACTTATTATTTACTTTCTGTGAGAACCCTGTTTGTTGAAGCTCAAAATTATGGCATCTTTCATTCATGTCAAGATTAAACCTCTCTAAATTGCACAGAAAGTAATAATCAGGGAAGTTATCATAACAGCATCAGCCTCAGTCACCCCATTATTATTTAATGTATTTCCGTTGAAATTTGTGCAGTTCTGGGTATCATTGTCTTGAAAATTATAGTTAGTTAAGGATTTTATTTTTAAAACAGGCATACCAAATGAAAATATTCTACAGGATGTTGATAGCTGGAATAAAAATATCTACATAACTTCTGAGTGCATTAATAGGGGCTTTTCAGGAGGATTTTAGCTTAAGGAAGGATCTGGTTTTCTTGAGATTTGAGCTTCAGGGCAGAAGCAGAGAGGGCATTGTGTTTTAAGTGTGGATAATGCGTATTTTATGAAATTACTTGGTAAGTTAAATATGAACCAGGTATGAAATCATAGTTTAGGTAAATGAATAGTGACAGAGCCTACTTTACTCAGCCTCTGTAAAGTAGTCAATGAAAATCTAGACAGATTACCCAGTTCTTACTGTCCACTGACTACAAAGAGGTATCAAGGGAAGCACTTCTTTCCATTTCTTGCAATGTTTCATATTTGAGTTTTTTCAGCTTTGGTCCTTTTTCCCTTTAGCAGCACCGGAGCAAAGGGATTCCTCCCTCCTGGGGAGCCCAGACGTTGCTGACACAGCTCCAAGAAGGAAGAGAAGACAAAGGGCAGCAAAACCTGCTGGGACAGGGCCTAAGGTGGCAGCTTATGAGGCAGAACAACTACCTGAAGAAAAGTAAGTGGTTTTTAAATGTATTTAAATGTTTTTGTACTTAAAGATATCGTAGGGCTGGTTGTGTTCCAAACCCAACTGGTTGTGGTTGGGGTTGGTGACCTCCAGAGGTCCTTTCCAACCTCATCACCCTGTGGTTCTACCCTTGAAATTTCAGTGGAAATCAACTCACAGTACCATGTTTAATAGACCGGAATGGATTTATTTTGAAAATAAAATCATGGGGGAGAAAAAAAATCATTTAAAAACATGAGGGTATCAGAATTTGTAGCACTTGTAGGTATTTTTCTTCTTATGTCAATTTCAACTTCTGGAAGTATTTTCACATGGTCTGGGAGGTGGTTCACATGGTATTACCTCAGAGCTGCAATATGGTTAGTGGTATTTCTTTAAAATATATGGCAAATTATATTTGAAAATACTCATGTTCCATTTTTGTCTGTAATATTCCATGGATAACAAACTCTTTAAACAGACAGGGTCACAAGTATATTACAAAGACATTTCCCATGATTAGCAAAGATTTTTAATAATGAAAAGCAAGAGAATTATCTTTTATTATTATATTTGACGTAGAAGGTTGTGGCTTGATGCCAGCTGGGAATGTTTAAATTTACAGTCCTACTTTATTAGTTAAAAAAATTGCATTTTTTAGAATGGTGTAGAAATATATCAGATTCTATTTTCTGTTATTTTACAGTACATTGCAATGAAAAATGCCTTTTCCCCATTGTACGTTGTCCATTTAGTTTTGAAAATCTGCCTGTGTTTGGCTGAAATTCAGTTTCACTTTTTTTTAGTATTGATTGCTGAAGCAAAACCTATGGAGGCAAATTATTGCAGAGGAGTATAGAAAGTCCTTGGACTGAGTAATCATCTGTTTATTAATATCTGAGTCCTCTGTGTAGGGGAAAGACTAAGAAAATACTGATATTTTTGTTTTAATTTCCTTAAGTAGGGCAAATTTTAGAAAAAAACAGAGCAACATTAAGTTTTTCCTACTGTACAGTCAAGTTCTCATATGATTGTGGAGCTGGTCAGAGCTGAACCTGAAGAGTGTCTTTTCTTCTGGGCTATAATATAACTAGTTGTATTTTAAGGCTTGCCATATGGAACATCCATTCTGTCAGTCTCTGTCCCCCTTTTTTCTCTTTGCACTATGTGGCAGTAGTTGTTCTTTGATTAACTAAGGAGATACAGAATCTCTGCATTCACCTGAAAAATTACAAAAGCCAAACTGTAACAATTTCCACTTTGCTGATTATTTTATCCTTGAGGGTTTTTGAGCTTCATCTTCTGCCAGGTGCTAATCAAGTTTTCAGTCAATTTGCTGGGCTAATAATTTTCACTTCTCTCCAGCCTGTCAAAAGTAGGGAGATGTGGAATTAGCACCAGTTCACAAATATAGATGTTCCTTTTTTTATGAAGTTTCTCCAGTAATTTGTGCTGATGGAATGCCAGATCCTACATGGTGCAAAAAGGCTTTATCTTAAGCTGACAGGATGTTGGGGTCCTGCCCAAAAATGTTTTCCAGTATTGTGTCATGAGCAAAAAAATAAAATTACTAATTCCAAGCAAACCACCCCAGCCTGCTGGGGCGGCAGGGAGGCAAGGGGGGAATTTAACCTCGGAATTCCTTCATCTCTGGAAGGGCTCCATCACAAACATGGGAGATGTGCAGCCCTTGGAAGGGTGTCATGGTTTTTCTGCTTGACAGAAGGATCAAATGACAGATTGTGATCACGTTTGCAAATGCACAGATGAACCCTTGTTTCTAAACTCTCCTGCATAGACCTGCAGAAGGAGTTGGTTCTTTAATGTAAATACTAATATAAATGGTTACGAATAAGATGCAGTTGCACAAAACCATATCTAACAGTCCTTGCTTTAGCAAATACAGCTTATTTAGAATTATTTTTGAAATTTTGGTAACATCACTGGTGATCATTTCATATTCACCAAGGCTGTCACAAACCAAACATCAGGAACCTAACGCTGCCTTTATGTTATTGCACCATAAGTTGACTAATAAAATATCTTAAGTCAGAAGAAAAAAATACCTCTTCACCAAAGGAATCATCCAAGTTTTTCTTTTCTCCTTGCCTTTCAGATTGGTTTTTGAAAACAGTTTTTCAGCAGTCATTGTTACCACATAGAAATTATGTCCTTAAATTCTACATATTTCTTGTAAGATTTTAAAGTATGCAAAGAAAGTAGCATTTATCTTGAAATAAAGAGCATCTAAAGTAAACACTGAGTCAGGAAAACTGAAATGGTTTTATTTCTGCAAATATTTAGGATTTATGGATGTTGAACCTAGTTATGTGGCAATTCTCTAGTCCTTTGGAATGAAAATATATTCTTAGATATGACCAAGAACACTCAGAGGAATGCAAATAAAGATCTGTTTGACACAGAAATTAGAGCAAAAGGAGGGTTACCTTTCTCATGCTTTGTGTGTGGGTGCGGTGGCAGGAAGGGCAGTTGAATTGTGTTTATAGCCATAGACATATAGTATTACACTGGCAATTTATTCAAGGGCTAAATCAACATTTTTAATGAAACTTGGCAGTATGCTTTGGATGATATTAAGCTTAGTGAAAGTAGCCATGAGATCAGCAAAGAGCTGAACTAGGATTTGTAGAACAAGGTTGCTAAATGAACTGTTTAATTATTTGCTGAAATGAAGATGTACTTTAGGATAAAGCAAAACTTTAGGATAATTAGTTGGTCAGTGAACTGCAAGATTTTGAGGTTTATCCAGCTCTTTAACATGTTGTTTTTCAAATCTGATATTCAATGAAAGGAAATGCTTCCTAGGCAGACAGATGTTACTTTTAGTTAATAACAGTTGAACTGTGGCTTTTAATTTACACATTTTAAAAGTGTGACAAAGGATGGATCTTGCAGTTCAAAACATGATTGAGCCAAGAGGTTAAATAAAATTATTCTGATTCCAGTAAACTGTGATGGTATTGGTGCAGCTTTAACTGTAACTTAATATATGGCAATTTCCTAAGGTGCAAAGCAGAGATAATACATAAGTCAAGTTAAGATGCAAATTCTACTTTTTACAATTTGCATTTCATAATTGGAGCAGAGAAATTAATAATAATGTTCCCCATCCTCAGTTAGAAATTATGCTTATTACCCAAATCTCTCTAGGGTCTGCATATGAATGACACCATTAGCCATGTGGAATATGCATTCAGTAGAGAGGCTTAAGTGTAGGGCCTGTCAGCCTGAATCCTGTAAATAATTGGATGTTTCTATAGTATCTTCACTTTAAAAGTATTTGAACCTATTTGAGAATAGACAGTATCTACTGAGGATGGCAATTTTTTGATATAATGTCAAAAATTAAACATGTTCTGTGGTCACAAAGTACAGTGGAACAGAGCTGGACCCTCTGTACCTAAAACAAAAGTAAATCAGGAAAAAGCATCCCTTTCTAGTGAAACTTTTACTTTGCTTCCATGATGGAAAAATTCCATCTTTCTGGTTTGGTTTAACAAAATTGGTTTTATTTAATGGGTTAAAAAAAGAAAAAACTTTTCTTTTTTTTCTGTTCATCATATTTTACTAATAAAGAATGTAGTTTTATGGTTCTTATTCACACATGAATTTCCTAGGAGAAGGGCTTTCCTCGATAATTTCTGTAAGTTACTCTGTGTATTTCAAAGTATAATCCATTCCAGCTGCTCAAAAGTGTTCATAATTTCTCTACTATTTATGTATACACATATACATACAATTGGCAGAAGTGGTTTAGGGGAAGGCGTCTCAAATAGAGGAAAAACAGTATTACGGATCCAAATGTGATCTATTCTCCTGACATGAAGACTAGAGAAAATCAAAGAATGTTATTATTGAGGCATTGTTTCATAATTTTGATAAACAAGTGTTAGGAAGTACTTTTAGTTAATTGACTGAAGAATAACAGGTATTATTTGCTTTTATACATAAACACTGCTTTTTCAGGGAGCCAAAGGGTTTAACATGTTTTTGGGGTTATCAGCAGCATCCAAGTAAGAAAAAAAAACAAACATACCCAGAGTGGTGACTGGGTGTTTGGAAGTCACAGGAGTTGCCAGGGGTTGTTTTGTGCCACCTACATTGCCACCAATTGCTCCATCAGAGGAGGCCAAACAGAGAATGTAATTTTTACTTAAAACACGATTGTTACGGTCCTCACAGCTCGGTGTTTGTTCTTGACTTCAGGGCCTGATTAAAGTTAGTCATGTGTGTAATTGTGGGTAGAAGGGGCTGCTGCATAGTTTTTGCTTGTTAATGATAAATGTGATTTTTTTTTTCAGTTTCCATACTCTCTTTCTGTACCTTCAAAAGGTTTTTAGAGTCTTCATCCCAGTACTGTAATAAGCTGGACTTGTCTTTCTTTTGATAACCTTCCACCCCCTTAAAAGCACTCAGAGCCTGTGGTGAGCCAGGAGCTCCTGGGGGATCCTCTCTCTGCATTTGTTTAATTTATTGCTTGCGGTTCACATTTTTAAAATCCTAATGCAACATTTATTTAAAGTGTGGTTTGCCACCACCAGTGACTCAGGTAGAAGAAACCATAAATTTGTCTCAGAACTGGGCATTCTCAGAGGGTTATGCACAGACATGGGTTTTTTTTCCTATCTCACACAACACTAATTCTTCTTATAAAAAGGTTTAACCAAGTAAAATTTGGGTCCCACTGAAAATTATACCATAACCTTCCATGCTGCAGAGGGGATATAAAGTTTGCCCCACAGTTACCTCCCTTTTAAAGAAGGACATATTTAAGAGCTCATGTTGACATACCACTTTTTTGTTTGTTAACTGTATATATTTAATACAATAGGAGAGAACTTGGTGTGACAAACAGCATGGTCACTGATGTATGAGTGAGTCAGTGCACTGTCTGTGTACAGCAGTGATAAGCTCATTCCTGCCATAATAAATTTATGGAATGCAGTGTTTAGAAAGTTTTTGATGGTTAACTCATTCAGCCTGAAATG